GCTTGACTATAGCAACAGCTGTTATTCGCAGACGCTCTACGTCAGACAAGACTGTTGGTGTTGCACACGGACGTGCGCCATCTTCGAGCGATACTGGCTGTATTTGCACAGCTGTGTCATCTGTTCTGTATGTACCATACTGCACTAGTCTCTGTGCACCTTCTCGCAGTGTGAACACAACTTGCCACACAATTCAATCGAACAGCTCATTTGCCCCAACACTGCACGCTCACAAATGAAACACAAAACATCAGAAGCTTCCGCACTGGTCCAGTGGTCAGGATTTCTCGCTCTCACCGAGACGGCCAGGGTTCGATTCCCTGGTGCGGAATCCCTTTTGGCTGATTCGAAGGTGATGGCTGGTTGTGAGTGTTGTTTCCTTCCCATTCATATTCTGCATCGGCAAAGTACGCCTGCTGACACGCGGTCTCGTTGTTGCCATTTTATTGTCGTTATACTGCATCAATTGCAGCTACCAAGAATGTAACTACAGTGACAGACACAATCAACGTGCCAACTTTGGCTGCACAGATATATTTCGAGAGCTGCAAAGCTGCACACAGCGTTATATGTTCATCAGTATCCGAGTGTATCCAGCTGCATCCCAAGTCAGTGCCTGCAATGAAAGTGGCTGGATCATCTGAATGCCATAGAGCGAGATATATACAACAGTGCGGAGGCATCACAGCAGAATCGAACAGGAGCAGGTTTCGTGGTGTAGTCGGTTATCACGTCTGTCTAACACACAGACGGTCCCCGGTTCGAACCCGGGCGAAGCCACTCTTTTCTCCTCTTTTGGTGTCTGCTGTTTGTTGTGTGCGCCGCTTCCGTGGAGCTGGTTCAGCAACTGCACTTTTGGCTACTGTTGTTGTTGTTGGAAAGCAGTGTTGTAGCTCATTTCCCCACTCTTTCTATCTCATCTCGTTAAAGACGTTGTATATCGTGGTCAGCTGTACTGTGCCTGAACATGTAATACAACTGGCAATTGAAAAAGCGCACAATGGCGAGCCAGCAAGTTAGCAAGTCGTCTAATCGACCAGCTACTCACTTAGATGCTTGCTTAGGAAGAACTGAGCAGCGAGTCCAGCTTGTCGACTGCTCGGCTCAGCAGACTCTCGATGCGCTCCATCCGCTGCTCGAGCTCGCTCAGTCGCTGGTGGATGGCTGCATCTGCAGGCTGCCGGCGTCCGACCGATGGCTCGCGATACAGCATCGTGGTGCTCCGCCCGATCCGCTGCCTGCTCGGCGGCGTTGCTTCGCCAACACTGCCTGCCATTGTGCGCATGTTCAGCACATTCGGACTCAGGCTCATGCCCACATCCAAGTCGTCTCTGAACGCGACTGATGGCTGCAATCCGCTGCCGCTTGCAAACCGCTTGCCGGTGCGCGTGCTCCGCCGGATCAGGCGCGACTGCGGCAGCCCGAGACCAACATGCACACTGCCGCTGCCGCTGCCTGCAGAGCTGCCACCAATCGAGACATGGCTCGGACTCACATACGAATCATGATGCGTCGTGCTGCCGCCGCGCTGCTCGCTGTTTCCACCGCTGCCACTTCTGCTTGCTGGCGGCAGTCGATCGCTGTTGTTTGCACCATGACTGCCGCTTCCGCTGCCACCACTGCCACTTCCGCTACCGCCACTTCCGCCGCCGCTCGAATAGGCATAGTCCGAGCCGCGTGGCATGCGCCGCCGCCGGTCCCACCGGTCGTACCGCTCAAACGCCACCGTGCACGCCAGCGCCGGCCACAGCAGAATCTGCTGCAGCGCGCGCGACAGCCGCTCGTACGTCGCCGGCTGCAGAGCCCACTTCCACGGCCGCAGCGCCACCAGATACACAATGTTGACCGGCGGGTGGAACACGTATCCCTTGCGCTTGCCGCCGCGCAGGTGCTCCATCACGCGCACCGTGAACAGGAACCGGTACTCCATCTCGGCCCGCGCCGTCACCCGCGCAAACGACTGGTTGAAGATCGAGATCAGCAGGTTGAGCAGGAACAGGAACGCCAGCGAGATGTATAT